CTTTAATCGCCGTTAAGCTAACCGTGCGAGGAATGTTAATTTAAGAAAAAACAGGGAGGAGGAGGTGAGGAGGAAAGAAAGAGAGAGAAGAAAGGAAGCGTGGGAGTGCGGATGCGCGATTCGTTGCTCTAAATTGAAGCGAAGGGAACTCGTGACGGGATGATGAGACGCCTGAATGCGACAGGACGACGGAGGCGGATCTCTAACGGAAGCAGACGGGTGGAAGTGCCGAGAGAACCACAGGCGGAAGTTTCTTTAAAACATTGTTATTAATTTTCTACACGTGTAGAGATAACCACATTTCCCAGCGCAATCAGTCGATACTCTCGCGTACGCTGTTCCCACACACGACACACTTCTCGGCGCGTTTATTAAGCCCGTCGTCGTCGCTCGTACTGTACATAACACACACACACACACACACACACATACATAAACGCACGCACATCCACACACACGTGACCTTTTCAGATGTCACCGTGCTACAGCGGTGACGTTCAAAAAGTGCGTCTCTCTAACGCGAATCGCGCGCATTAGGCTTGGCGTTTACGGCGGATGCGTGGCCGCGGGCGACTTTAGTCGTAGTTACATGCGAGAATATTTCAACCCACATGAAGTATGTTTCGAGAGAGACGAAGGGAAAAATTCGATATATGATCGCAAAGTTACAAATATAGCACGGAGATCCTTCGCGCGAAGGTTTTGCAAAAAGTCAAGCATGGCGAATTTTCTTCCCTTTTAGAGGTATTCGTTGACAAGCTTAACCCCTTGAAAAAAATAGATAAAAAAATATCATAACTGGTAGAAGAGAAAAACTATTTTTTAATTAACTTTAGAAGCTCGTGTGTGTGTGTGTGTATGTGTGTGTGAGGTTTGGATCTTCTTTGTTTTACGTAGAAAAAATATGAACTACTCGGTGATAAAAAACAAAAATTTAAAAATCGTAATTTTGTGAGTTGGATCATTTTTACCTAACTATGGCCAATTAAAGTCCCGTTTTCAAGTGCTTGTGTTTCTGTCGGAATATGTGAATGTATATGTGTGTATTTTTATATATGTTCGTAATAAAAAGTTTAGTGAAAATTGAAATTACAGAGGATAACTGCAGTAACGACTGAACGTAACGTTTGGAGTATCTCGCGTGTACTGTACGAAAAAGTTTTAATTATAGAGAGAAGAGAGAGGGAGGAATAATTTTCTCTCCGGCAGAGAATATTTTGATCCACTTATGGCTCCGCGTTTCAAGTAACATTTAATGCACTTAATGCTTTGAAATCAAGAATCTCCATGTTTCATTCTACATTTCAATAATTGACAGTTCAGTTCTAAACTTTCAGTTGGAAAATGTCGAGATGCAAAGAAAAGAAGTATAGAATCACTCATAAAATATTGCATATACACGAATTTCGCAATCGAAGAACCAAATTGGCATGTACCAAAATTCTCTGTCTGAATTGATTATTATTTTCCCGTCGTATACGCGCTATATGTAATGTATTTTATAAAGGAACTGAGAAGTTCACTATTAAATAAAATACTTCGATAATATTTCACTTAGCAAAATAAACTCTACCAACTGTCTATTCTGAGTTATTACGAAACAGCGACAAAATTATATAGAAAGGGAAAAGATAGAAAGATAAGAAATCTAAAAGTAAGAAATATTTATTCGATGGGTACTAATAACATATTCACTTACACTGATACACATATTTTTACACGAAGAGAAAATGAGAAAATATATATTTTCCCCAAACCGTTGTTCTTCATAGGAGCAATTTTTTATTCTACATAAATATGTTATTATAGTACCCACCGAATAAATATTTTTTTACTTTTCTTCTTTTAGTGTATACTGAAAAACTCATTTAGTTGAGTTCACCAAAATTTGGTTAAAATAAGGAAATGAATGGAACAAATGTTTTGGTTGTGAGAACCAACACTTTGAACCAAAGGTTTGATTTTTTCAAACAAAAATGAAACAGGTTTAATTTCAAATAATCAAATCTTTGGTAGAAAGAACGAAATTTTGGCCCTCACAACCGAAACATTTGTTTGACTCTATTTTAACCAAATTTTGGTTAACCCAACTAAACGAATTTTTCAGAGTATGCATGTGTGTACGTATGTATATATGTGTATAATATTTTTTTTATGTATAAATGTCACACTCTTCAACATGTAACTTCAACAATATTTCTCGTAAATCAGACGAGTCGCAAATATCGCTCGAATATCCTGGTCTCAGAATTATTATTTTCGATGTTGCCTCGCGTGCGACCACGCATTCGACGAAACCGTAATTGTAACCATTCGCAAAATGTCGAGCGGAATAGTCTTAATACCAATCTAAGGATATCCGCGGAAGTCGCGCGCGCCCATGAGAGTCGAGCGCCGTCTCTCCTTGCTCGTGTCGCACTATTGTCATTAAAGTACTACGAGTTTCCGTGTGTCTTTTGGTGGAGCGCACTTCGGACGATCTGTAACTCGCAAGCGAATCGTCCGGATGGAATTCCAGTCCGGATCTCGCGAGTCGACGCGATCGTGGTTCGAGGTAAAGGAAGGAAAAACAGAAATTGCGCTCGCGAGCGTATCACGAGGTCACATTACGGATATTGTAATACGCGCGAGATTTCGATTTTACACAGACCCGTATTAATAGTCGCTGATTTTCAAGTATCTCTCAAGTGAGATACTCAGATTTGAATTTGGAGTGAGATATAAGTTTTTCCAGCTGAGTGGCGGTTAAAAGTTTAATGCCATAATGATTCAAATCGGCAAACCACCGAGAGTACCTTGTTCAGGAAAACCTCTCAAAAATCAATACAAAAAAACACTCAAATCTAACTCTAAATTCAGATTTAAAACGTATATTAACCCATTAAAGGCCCAAGAGAAAACCTCTAAGGATAAACTTTCAAAAACCATCTAAATTAGGGCAAAACGTCGAAATTTGTTAAAAAGTGAAAAAAAAAATTTGTGTTGGATTTCAAAATTCAAGATGTCAGACCAATATGTCGGCCCAAAAATTTGAAATTTTGATCTATTTGAGTGCAAATCCGTATAGGGAGGGTTTTTGGGTTCGCTGAGTATGAATATGCACTTATTTTTTCAAAATTTTTCAAAGCGTACTTTCATTGAAATAAATCAAAATTAAAAATTTTTGGCCGCCATATTAATTTCCAAAGTCAAAAAACCATTTTTCTTCTACAATCTGCTAAAGTATGATGTTTTGCCCCAAAACAACACCTTCGAAAGGTAGCTTATAATTTGATTGAATTTTTCGCCAAATAACAAAACTATATCAAATTTTCACATTTTTGGGCGGCCATATTGGATCCGCTATTACGAATTTTGAAAAAATAAGTGCATATTCATATTCAGCGAACCAAACCCCAAACCCCCCCTATACGGATTTTCACTCAGGTCTTAAATTTTGAAATCAAATACAAATTTTTTTTTTTTCACTTTTTAACAAATGTCGACGTTTTGTTCTAATTTAGATGGTTTTTGAAAGTCTTAGCGGTTTTCTCTTGGGTCTTAATGGATTAATAGGATACAGCGGGATAAATTGAATAGCGGGGGAATTTTGATAATATTAAACATTTGCGACAATCTCAGAAAAATACGCCTTGTTTTATGTTTGAGGTTAGCATGCTATATATTCATATTTTTATGCTATATATCGTATTTTTCTGAAATTGTCGCAAACGCTTAATTATCCAAATTATCCCGCTATTCAATTTACCCCGCTGTATCCTAGTCGTTATTTGAAATTTGTCTCATGTGAAATCACTCAGATCAAAATACAGAGTTAGATCTGAGCTTTTTTAGTTGGATCATGTATGTGACATTATATTCGTAATCGTGATTCAACTGAAAAAATTCTATCCTAAATTCTAATGAGCGTTTCACTTGAGACAAGTTTCGAGTAATGACTATTAGTACGGGGGAGTCATAGACTTTGTTTGTGACCGTGCGACGAAATTGCGTAACCCTATCGCGACTTATCGCGCGAAATGTGCTCCGTTATGTTTTTGTTTGTTGTTTCTTTTTTTTCGCGCGATAAAAACGTCTCACTGGATCGCCACGCGGATAAAATTTTTCCCGAGGGTATTGGCATTCCTTAACTGGAAAAATATTATGCCGGCTTTTCTGACTAGGATGCGTTCATATCGTTCGAGATGTTTGAAGGAAGAACACGATGTTGAGACAGGTAAGGCCGAATATACATGAAGAACATCGCGGAGTGCCAACCGAGATGCATGCACGAGTCGAAATTTTCATGAATCCTGCAAGTCGCGAACTTGAAGGATCGATGGAGCATCTCGAGGTATAATTCTACACGGAATATTTTGACCTACCTTGACGATGCAAACGGCGATTTACACGTCGTTTTCTTCACGCTGAGGCTCGAAGAAGCGCTCATATTCAGGAATTATTTAACATTCGATTACTTCATTTAATTTTTATTTATCCTGTAGGCCTGTTCTGTAACTTTCAATGACAGTATCATTAAAGGTAACATAATAGTCTGCTGCACTTAACGTTTAACTTTTCTTAATCTGCACTTTTAATCTTTATTCTCAATTTCAATGATAAATGTATCAACTACGTGATTTATTCAGCTCGCAGAAGGAATGTATAATAGGTAAACGTTAAATATTTAATATGAGCGAATATTTATAAACGTTAAATATATTTAATGATCTGATATAAATAAATAATTGATATGAGCAAATATTACGCTAACAAATTATGGGATTGATGTGTGAGTAAAACAACCTTTCTTACTAATGTTATGCTTAGAATATTTTTTTCCTTTTTGTTCTAGAAGAATCCTTGGAATACAAAAGGATACCACTAAGGATGAAATTATATTTCTTGTTTTAGAGGTGTGTGTGCTCGCGTAGCATTCTGTGATAGCTCGCGATTTATCAATATACAAATATTAATTAACGTCATATTCCTGATCGACTCGTATTTTTTCACGCAGGATTGAGTAGCTGGCCACGATGACGGCCAGGATTCCAAAATGCGTTACAGGGCGCAGGATGCAGCGGTAGTCGGCAACCAAATTTGCAACTGCTTCTTTTTCACCTATTCTAGAAAATCTTCGAATCTCATCGCGACTTCTAATCCCAATAAAAAAGGTAATAACGAGATTATGAGAAGAGAAAGTTTCACAAGGTTTCCTCTGTTCTTATTATTTAATACTTTATCATAATACTCTATCTGCAGTCGAGTAAATTATATAATTAATATGTTGCTCATTGCAATTAAGGATCAAGTAGAATTAAGTGCAGCTAGACTATTGAGAATATTAAATCACGTTCAAATAAGTCCTCTTTTGAGCCTCATCAAAATAACAACAAACAATCATTTGTAGCATCAAGGACAATAATTTGTATAACGTACCTCGAGATTCTCGACTGATTCTTCCAGCTCGACAAAATTCATAAGCTTAATGTAGAATCTTGAAATTTCATTTTTGAGAGTGCATTCTCCCTTATCGCCCAAAAAATCCATTTATATATTTTTATATTAAAATAGTGAAAGATTAATCTTCCACAGTCAGCAGCAAAAGAGTCGCGACATATTTCTCTTTGATATACCTTGAAGTACACAAAAATCAGACAACTTTCGCGATTAGCTTCCAAATGCTTAAGTTTGACAATTTCAACGACCTCTCGTCAAATTGGCGCGACTCTTCGTCGTTGTCGTCGACTTCGCGTATGGTAAATTCTCTAAACCTTCAAATTAAAAATATACATCTGAATAATGCGTTAATCGCCGTAATGTATAAATTTTGACTTAATATGAATGCATTCCAGTCACGCGACGCCTCGCGATATATTATTCGACCAGAATCCCCTCCACGCGGAGAGTCGCGATCCGCCGAGTCGCTTTAGCGCCGGGAACTCCCGTAAACATCGATTTACAACGTTGCACATTACGTTACGTTACATTACAGGACACTAGCCGTTTACGTTAACGTCTAACAGATACGTGATATACGAGCGGATCGAGTCGAGTCGAGCGATATCGCGGCGATTTCGCGCCTCTTTACTGATGAAAACAAATGAAACGACACGAGGAGACCGATATATTTTTATTCACCGTTGTCTCTTTCCTCCTTTCTCTCTCTTTATTTTCTTTCGTGAACTTTTGCGAACATTTATCCCGACACATTCGCGTCGGATTGTTATCGCCGATTTTCGATTTCTGCCTTTGGTTACGACAGTTTCGTAGACGCTTTCGTAGAGGACGACGCGCGATGTGTTGCCATTTCCGAAGTCGGGAAACGTCGCGTCGATCGCTACTTTTCGCAGCCTCCAGTACACTCGTTGACAGAAAGGTTGTCGTAATTTTTCGAGCGAGTTTGTGAACTCTCCCGTCTTGTCCAATAAGAGCATTCTCCTTATTGGACAAGACGGAGAACTCAGCAATTTTTTCACCCGAATAATTACGGACTTAGCCTTCCGAGTGTACAGTCAACGTTATGTATACCATAAATCGAGAGTCACGCAAACTTTAGTCTTACACATATATACATAAGGCTGAAGATGTTATGTCGGATTAAGATCATTATTTGTAGTAATCATAACTATTGATTATAATAATTATAATAATTAATTTGATAATTATATTATAATTATAATATAAAATTATAAAACATTATAATTTAATAATTTATAACATTTAATTATAGTAATTTCTCATAATGATCAATAACTGGTAATTATCAAATTGCCAATTTATCGTAATTAACGGTCGTAATTACTTAAACCGAGTAAACAATACTTGGTTTAAATGAAGAGAATTTTGATTTAAATAAATATGTGTATTAAAATAGCTCCCGCCTAATAAATATTTTTTTAATTTTTATATTTTTTCTTAGTGTGCTTACCGAATAAATATATTTTTTATTCTTTAGATACTTTCTTCTCTCAGTGGGTAAGAAATGGTGTGGTATACGCTGACTGTACATATGTGTTATCATGAACGATATTTTCGGGAAATTTAAGATCCCGGCCGACAGATAACGGTCGATACGGCATCACTGTTGCAGAAATCTCTGGAGAGAAGAATGGAGAGAAGAGATGCGGCCGCGATATCGCCCGCGCACTCGATCGGGGCTTACGTTAGTGATTGTTCTGCACTCTGGAGTATACGTGACTAGATGTGTACGTGTGTGAGCGTGTGTTTGTGTACGCGCGCGTGCGCGCGAGTGTAAACGGTATTTTGCCTCGCGGTCTGCCAGACAACGAAAAGGTAAAGAAAAAAGAAAAGCGCGGCGAAAGAGCGAGAAACGCTGAAATTATAAATTAATGAATCGCTTGCGTTCTGCGAGACCGACTCGTGAAGTCGATTCATCGTGTGTACTTTCGAAAAATGTATGCCGAGCCAAATGAATGAGTATTCTCAGGCAAAGCGAGCGAGTCATCTTGAAAAAGAGAAAACGAATCTTGCTTTCCACGCAAGAGGAAATGTCAGAAACGTTATGCTCTTTTTAGACGGAGAATTCATTTATCAGCGATTCTACCGGGCGCTCTTTCAAACTTCACGGCGCTTTGGAAAGATGAAAATTTTAGAACAATTCCTCCACTCAGAAGAAAAAAGACCAGGTAATTGTGCTAATTTTCGCTTTTTCTGGCGCCTCTGACGCAGAAAGTTTACATTCCGAAAAAAGCGCTAAATCACACGATCGTAGAAATAACGCGCGTTCGAGGCTCTCGTTTAACCTTTTTCCGGTCTAGCCGGTTTTTGCGGCTTTTTAAAGGAAAAACACATTTTTTCATAATAAAAAAAAATACGTTTCTCCAATAGAAGTTGATTTTTCACAAATCACTGTTACAGGAAACTAATCATTTCGCTGAATTGAGGAAGCAATGCATCATATGTGATGCATCCACGTCACGCAAAGATATCGTACATACCGAGGGAAAATTATAGTCCTCTCTTTTCGTATAAATTCTTTTCGATTTCACTGCGTTTTTAGTAGGCCAAGTGTGGATTCTCGGTAAGGTTTATCTTGCCAAGAAACAGTTAACGTTTTCACAGTAAATCTCGTTGAATATATAAAATATAATTTTTTAATAGCATATTTCAGTTCCTGAGGTAAAAGTAGCTCACATGAGACGAAGGGACAGTCAATTACGACAGAATGCCGATATATTCTTTGGTCACAAAATTCTACATAGTGATCTGTACTACAAAATCCTCCCCGTATACGACGTGCCTAGACAGGGAAAGGGTTAGGAAACGAAGGATCCGCAAATCAGGACCGCAATTAGTTGTGGTGAATAAATGATATAGCAACGTCAACGAGCGACAAGCAACAAAACGGCAGCACTTACGTCTTATCGTTGCGTAGAATTTACTTTCCGTGTTTGTGTGTGTGTGTGTGTGGAGGAAATTTGTTTGTTCGTTTATATATATATATACATATATAATTCTGTTTCATCTTTGGCATCTCCATCCTTCAACGTGCTTTCATAAATATCTCTACTCTGATAACGATTCATATCACTCACTCTTTCACTTTCTCCCTCTCTTTCTCTCTTTCTCGCTCTCGCTCTCAGTTGCGGGAGGGATGATATACGCTTCAACATTTATCCTACACGAAATTAATCTCTCGAGTCTAAGCTGCTGGGATTCGTATTTACAATGATACACATCACGTCGCGCCGCACAATCGCTAAATACCGTGCTATTATCGTAAGTCCCTTTGATTATAACGAAACACCGCCACGGTGATTATGTACAAAGTGATCCCCTAAACGACGACGCGTCTCCATGTCGAGCGGAACAGCCTCGTCGCCCACTTCCCGGCTTCCTCTCGTTCTCTCTCTCTCTCTCCCTCTGTCTTTCGCTCTTAGTCTCCTTTTCTCGCCGTGTCTGCCATCCTCAATTCTCCCCCGGCCTGTACTGTCTTCTGAGTGTTCTGGAAGTCCTTCAGTGCTTCGCGTCTCAATTTTTTATTGCTTCGTTAGTCTCAATCTCAGATTTGCGAACTCTTCTTCCCGCGACGAGTCCTGGAATCTCCCCTCGACGGGAATCGCCGGGCACGGAGGAGAGTGTTTTTGAGCAATTAGCGCGGGCGAAGGTAATGAACCTTCGCGCGGACCACATAAAATAAGCTTCGTACAACGAAAGCTTGTATTGTCCCGTGAATTTCGGACGGACCGCGCTCCAACTCATTAAAGTGGCACGTTTTTCAAGCCGAGGTTTTATTCCCATTGTGGAATAATCTCGGAATACAAATGATCCCGGAAAGTAATTAAAATTAAAGTATCAAAACCCCTAATTCTGAATCCGCGAAGGACGGTAATAAACTTGCGTGGTAATAAATAATCGTGTCTTGGTGTCTCGAAAGTGGAGCACGCGAACTCTTGCTCTGTCTCTCCCTTTTGCTCAGCCACGAAATCAGTAAAGTGCCATCCGGTGGCACCGTTAAATAACTCCAGAACGAACTCTCGGCATGAACGACTTAAAGACCGCTTCACGTGATCCCGACGCATCCATCTGATATCAATTAATTTTTAATGTGACCGCACAAGCGACCTGATTAACTACACGGAAAAGAAATATTTGCTGTTGAAAATCTTATTAGCTTGGCGAGTCTGTAGCAATATACACAGATGGTTTTCTATTTTAAAATAATTTAGATTCCAAGCTGGTTGAGAGATCATTGATTGTTCAGATAATTAATTGACAAATTTGTGTATATCTTAGCACGGTAGATTTGTCGTTGCAGCAAAGAGAAACTTCACTGAAACTAATAGAAAAAAAATATAATAGTTTAGGACACTCAACAAGATATATTTCTGAAGATTAACTAATTCTTTTACTGTTACATTGAAAGGAATTTGGAGCATTGACGTGAATTCTATTAATAATTAATTTCTCAGATAACAGAAGTTAGCTAAAACAATATTGTGTGTTCATAGTGATAAAAATCAAAGACAATTATTCACCATGAGCAATAGAAAATATAGTTTAGGACACTCAACAAGATATATTTGTCGAGACAAATTTTTTGTCGTTGAAGGAAATTTGGTGCATCAACGAATTCCATTACAGCTAATAATTAGTTGCCCTAACAAACGAAGTTAGCTAAAGCAACATTGCGTTTGCAACCCGTCAAAACAGGAATGAAAGTACAACGATAGTTCAGATAATAGCCCCACGACGCTACAGACCCGTGGACAGACGTTTTACTGCAGAAAAAAAGGTAAACAGCTAATAGTCGATGGTTATGTAGTCAAAGACGCTCCGTCGTCGCTGCGTCGTCTCTCTGCTGAAAAGTTCGTGTCCGACGTTATCGCGCGGCCGGCATAAAATATTACTGAAATCGGAACATCAATCTGCCGTCGGACGCGAGCCTTATTTACGGACCTGATAAAACGCCGCGGCAGAAATAGACCCGCGGGGCCGGCCTGCCGTCGAGCGTGTCCCTTAAAATAGGTCGATCGCAGGACGAAACAGACAGGCGCGCGCATCGCATCCTCCGTGCCTATTTGGGGAACGATGAACTCCTCTCTTTCGCGAAGTCTCTCCCGCGAGAGAACGGCAATGCTACGTGCCGATATTGCGACGCGTGCAGGTATTCGCGCGAGCACTCGGCGCGTTTTTAATTTCAGACGGATGCGGTGCGATGGAATTCCGCGATGGACCCGCGACGAGTCGAGTTTCCGCGTAAGGACGGCCATTCTGTGAGCGTACGCTGTAATTTCCACGATGGACCCGAGCGGGCGAATTTAATGGAGCGGTGTTAATTTTAATCGACAAGTTTTCAGTCGAATTGGACGCACGCGCCCTTGCCTGTAATAAGATTCCCCGTGCGAGAGTTTGGCGTGAACTTGGTGCTGAGTTCGGACTAATGTTCACTTTAACGCAAGCTCCTCGACCGGGCAAGCATAATTTAAGATTAGTAAAATTTAGATTAATTCGCAATAATTGAGTCCGATGACGAAACAAAACACAGCCTCCATCCTCGTAATTTGATTTGCATCTAATTATTTTCGGAAATTAAACAAAAATATTGTGTCAAACGTTTCAATAGTAATCGTAATCGAGTCGATGGAATAATTATTTGCAATCATTTTCAAGTTGGTGAAAGCTTAATTTGAATTGAATCCGCGGCAACTTTAATTTTAACGCAAGCCGAGCTCTTCAGCCGAGTAAATATAATTGATGTGATAAGATCGACTGATAAGATCGTAATTTGCAGTAATTGAGTCTAATGGCGAAATAAAACACGGTCCCCATCCTCGCGCGCACGCGTAATTGGATTTGCATATTTTTTCGGAAATTTTACATTCGGAATTTTCAAATATATCAATGAAACAAAACGTGATCCCATCTTCTTGATCTCGCTTGTCTTTCAAGGCACGCGCCTTAAGAGCAAATGTAATCGAATCAATGGAATCGTTATTACCTGCGACAACACTCAAGCTGAAGTGCGATCCGTCCAAGAAATTCGCCGTATTTCGTCCTGAAATTTCCGCAGATCAAGTTTCCCGAGGCTCACGTCGGGCGAGAGACAGCGAGAGGAAGACACACGGTTGGGGAAGCCGGCCGAAGTGCGATTCGACGTAGAGCCGTAAACGTGTGGCTCCCAAACTTCCGTTCTATCTACAGCGAACGCTCGCACACTCAATCAGGCGTCTGGGAGTGATTCCAAACGCGGAAGGGCACATGCACACACACGCGCGTTCCGGGAGAGAAACAATCCCTGCCTTTCATCCCGTCGCGTCCATCTTACGTGAGATCATCTCCGGGAAATGCTGTTTCGACGCGAAGTCACGAGGGAATGTGTGCTTGCGAGCGTGCAAACGCTCCTCTTCGTCGACCGAGCGTACTCTCGGCCGAGTCACTGCCGGCGAGGAGAGAGGTCCAAGGAGTTCGCGCGCGCGAGTTCAGATGCACGCCTCGATGTGCACGTTGGTCATCTCGCTGTTGCGCAGCTGATTGTTGACGTGCAGCTCGGAGGACGCGTTGCTGTGGACGAGGTCCTGTTTGCGGTGCACCTGACGCAGGTCGCGCACCGGGCCGATCGCGCGACAGCAACTCTCCAGGGTCTTGCGGAAGGCCGCGCGGAACTCGCGGTTGAAGTACGCGTAGATGAGCGGGTTGAGCGCGCTGTTGAAGTAGCCCACCCAGAACACCACTGCCACGACCACGTCGCCGCTCTCGCAGGAGTCGCATAACGCCGTGATGATGTACCTGCGAGACAGAGAAATGGAGAAGTTAATCGGGTGATCAGTTGATTGAGTAGTGCGATTTTTGGAAACGGTACTTCTCGGCCGGCTGCGTTTAACAGCTGAGTTCTCATACGTATGTATGTACTTATCGGTTATCTCGCGATAATATAGTCGGGAGGTTCAGTCATCAGACAGAAAGGGAGAGTCAAGGAATTTCTAGGTGAAATATATATAGTGGAGAGGGAGATGAATCAGAGGGTTGAGAGGGAAAACGTGAGCTACGACATATGTGTGTGTAAGAAGTACAACATTAGGATACACACTGTGATAAAAATTACGTCAAAATTACATATTTTTCTTCAAAGTTTCTGTGAAGCTGAACTATACTGAAATTGTGGCATAAAATAATAAATAGAGCGGTCAAGTTTCGCTTGATTTGAGTATCCGAGATCGATAATTAAATATTTCGAGTGTGTCACGTTCAACAAGTATTTCGAATGGACAGATAATATGTAAAATCACGCCATCAGAATGCGACAGATTCGTAACGAGTGGCGCGCGAAACGCGAAAAAGAGGAAGCTGGAAGCGCCCCTCTTGTTCGCGCCGTGACCTACATGTACCTGACGTCGAAATTGTTTCCATCGACAAGGGAAGAGTGGATTTACGGGCTTCCAAGGGGCTGGATTCGCCCACGACAACCCTCTCTTCGTCTCCACGGATCTATGCGCCACGTTGTGTTATACGATTTCTCCCTCTCCCGACACCATTATCGAGACTCGATTCAAACGTACAAACAAAACCAGAGTAAAGAAGCAGCAATTGAGTCAGTCGCCCAATGCTAAAACCGCATGATCTCGTGAAGCTAAGCTTCTCGGAAATTAAAGAAGAAGCCGCTCGTCCAGGAAATAGCAGGAAATAATTGGATTTCTCATATGAACGATACGTGTTAATTCGTAGAAAAAGCTCGTAGAAATTCGTAGAAATAGTTTATTATTACCCCCGGGGCAATGCTTCTTAAACTTTGCTTTTTAGTTAGCCTTGTATTGCACACTGGGAAGATATTATAGTGAAAATCAACAACAAAATCTTTGTAATCTTGGACAATACAGATTGATGACCGAAAGATGTATCTATCTATTTAAAATGTTAGGCATATTTGATTTTTTATTATAAAATTATTATAATTATTGGAATATCTTTTTATGTCGTATATTCAGTAAACCTTCAAATTTACAATGTTTATAATAATTTACAATGTTTATTATGTTTTTAATGTTTATAGTAATATAACTATTTATAGTGTTAATTTCAGTACAGAGTCTAGCTTTACGAAAAAACATTTAAACGGAAAAAATTTAAGTTTAACTTAATATTTACTACAATATTTTCTTCGTGTAAAACATAAAAATTTTTGGCATATATTTCACATGTATAAGATTAAAATAGCTTTATATATATATGAGCTTAATCTTGTATTAAAATTATATTAATTATTTGATAATATAATAATATATATATATATCCCTCTGTGTAAATATAATATTTTAATATTATATAATATAATATTACATTTAATATAATAATATTATATTCTCTTATTAATTATATTGATTAATCAGGCACATGTAATAAATCTTTATACAAATAGATTTTTTTTCATTTTTTAAAATATATTTTTGTAATATTCGCAACACACACAGCTAAATACTTCATATGCTCCAACGTGCCGTAACGTATTGTTTGAAAATTACTGCCCTAGGTTATACTCTCTGAGAACATGCAACAATTACAAAATTTATACGTAACTGAATGTGTGGCGCAATGCAAATTTCGTGATCATACCTTTGCCTCGTTTGGTTTGCCAGCAGTTGAAAACGCTATCAAGACACAGTTCAATGTTGAAAAATATTGCAATCACTGTTCGTAGCTTTTAAAGTCTAATTTGGTGGTTTGCCAGAAGGTAGGCACATAATCTCGACTTAAATGAGGTCAGGCTCTTCGTGATGTTCTAACATGTTATGAAAGATTATTTATTACATGGAAAGGAGCGAGGAAAGGGAAGAGAGAAAGAGAGAGGGAGGGCAAGAAAGAATACAGAATATTGCGAATATCTTCTCAAAATTGTATCGATTTTTTGCCCGGCGGGCAAACATGGAAGATTCTAAAACTTGTGTGACGTGTCGCCCGAAACATTTTCATGACGCATGTGCGTATTTTTATTCTCTTTTTCCCGAAACTAACAAGGAATACCAAGCAACTCAAAAATTCAAAAAATTCTGAAACTTTATGTGCAAGTAGAGTAGTTCATCCGTAACACAAAACTATTTTTTATTCGTGTGGAATTACAGTTTTACAGGGTATTTTAATAAAAAAATTATTGGGGTAATTTTTAATAAAAAAATTTTTTTAAATAGGGGTGAGGTTGAGGATATACAATAAATAAACAATTAAAACTTTTTTTTATTATAGATCTAAAATACTCTTAAAATAATTCAATTTTTATTTTGGAAAATTTTTTCTTTCTCTTATAGTTTCAACGATATTTGCTTCAAAAGAAAAAAACCGATTTTTTTTCAAAGAGGTGTTTCATTCCCTAAAACTGTAATCCGCATAAACAAAAAATTGTTTTATATTACGGATGAACTCGTCTGCTTGCACCCAAAGTTTCAGAATTTTTTGAATTTTTTAGTTGCCTAGTGTTCTTTGTAAATATAATTTCGTACCACTGGACTATTTCCAACATCAACCCCTCCAGATGAAAGCGCAAGGCTCTGCGCAGCTTTCGTACGTCGCGTCGATCCGTTATTTGTATTAACGCTATCTCGCTTACGTGCGGATCGATTGTCCATCGATTGCACTCCGGCGCATGAAAGATACTTGAATAAGTAAACAGAGGGGACGAAGGAGGTGATGGGGCGGAGGAAGAGGAGAAGAAAGGGTAAAGCTGTCGCGAGGCACGGGCCGTTGCATAAGAAGCGGGCAAGAAATCGAGTATCGATCTGCGGCGGGAGTTACGTTACCGCGGCCGTTGTTGGGGCACGAGCGGAACGCGGATGAATGTTTTACAGATACTGAACGCACGCGCGCGCGACGGTCAATGAGAATCGACGTCGCAATGTTCGCTCGGCGTGTAAAGAACCCCTAACCCATTCACATGCGAGGATGGCCGAGAGAAAGAGAGAAAAAGAGAGAGTGTGATAGAGGGAGAAAGAGAGGGTTGACCTTAACCGGCGTCGATTTATATTCTTAGCCAGTCTCTAGTCTGTACAGTTAATGCACTATTACGAAATACACGTAAGTGTATATACGTAAGTATGTATATGCGCGCGTTCGATTTATATCGAGCGGCGCAAATGCGTACGGAAACAGCGACGCTATATAGGCGACCCGGAGTGAGTTCACCTTTCCGGAAGCAACCCTGCCCGCGAATATCGAAAATAACTGGCCGTAGAGTCCGCGGTGGATTTATTTCGAGTCTGTTCGATCTCTTCGCGAATAGCAGCGGCACGTCCACTGCTGAGGTCGTTCTTTCAAGTGCAATTGGTGTCTTCTTCAGCGAAACGCTGTATTCATAACCGGTGACTCAGTCATGAGCTCGGCACTGCAATCAGTGAGATCTCGCTGAAAGGATCGGCGGATAACAGCGGCTGTTTCCATTATTGATGCAGTTCACAGGCACAGATAGTGTCATCGCACGCGAGGCGCACGGAAGCCGTCGATTCCATCGCCAGAGACACGCGCGCAGAAAAATGCATCCTGCGTTCAAGTGAATGTCGAGGATTTCACGATATTTACATATCCACCATTCTCCATCATAAGTTCATCGTCTAAGCATATATTTTTGCGTATTTTGAGGAGCTTAATATTTCATATACGAAAGCAAAATTTACTCTCTTTGCAAGAATATTATATTTTCGCCTTAACATCTTTGATTGAAATGTAAGCTCATTAGGATTCAAAATTTATTCAAAATACCTTCTGAACGCTGGTAAGTTTGCATTTTGCTTAAGAATGTTAAATTAAAACAAAATGTAGTTTGCTTGTTACATGGAATCGATTCTATCGAGAGAGATTATTCACAAGTTTCAAGAAAATTTAAATTTTTACGTGACACGAATCTGTCAATCATGTGTGTGTGCGTGTGCGTGTATGATGAGATCTTTCTCCTGATTTTTTTTTTGTTGGATAATTGCGCGGTGAAATTTATTCACAATAATGTTCATTATATCTTTATCGACACAATGATTGAATTAAAACAGAACTGAAAGTATCTAAATAATGTATGTTTCAGTGTCCCTGAAGAGCTTAATCGATATTGGATCTTGTGAAATTTTCGAAGATAAAAAGAGACCATCAATTGACAGCAACACGCGCGTGGTAGAATCTGGAATCTTCTCCCTTTCCCCTTCCCGAGCCTTCCCGCGATACCTTCCCGATACGGCCGCCACTTTATTTTTCGCGTCGGCAGTCGTGCTTGTTAGAAAACTTCATCCGACCTATGTTCGCCGGAGAGGGATTCTCCTCTCCTACATATCTCTATTTCCCTCTACTTCTCCCCGATGCGGTTCCCCAACGAGGACAATGCGGCCTTGCATTTCGCCCGCTAACAATTTCATTTCGAAGCATCGTCGTTCGCGTTCGACCGATATTCGTGGCGCGACGGCGACGTTGGAACTTCGCTGGAACATATTCCGCCTATGTACTGAGACTCCCGCGCGACATTCCGGGCTATTACCCGATATTCACCGCGAAATTATTATCGCTCTCGATACCACGACGAAAGGAGCTTCCGCACAAGCGCGCTCCTATAAAATGGCAACCAATACAGAATTGCGCGATCGGGTAAAAAATGCAGCGGTATGTCAATAATATGAAGTAAAGAAAAGAAAATATTATTATGCAAGTCGAAACATTAAAAGTTAAATTCTCCAGAGAAAGAAATTCTCTCGAGGTCGCGAATTAAGGGTATTCTTTCTGTGAACCTAATTATTTTTATCAAACGTTTATTTTTATTGTTGTTGTTGTGTATATGTATCATTTATATTATATTTATATATTTATATCTATCTATATTTTATTTTATTTATATCATTTATATGTTTGTGTATGTGTATATTTTATTTTTATTGTTTTTTTTTATTATTATTATCTCTAAGCGTTATTTTTATCAATATTAATTACAACGTGGAGTTCTCAACCAACCCCTTTTCGAGGTAAGAAAAAATATGACAAAAAACATTAGATAATATTTAAATAAAGTATTTATTTGCAATACTTTAACAAAAATTTTTATTGTTGTTGTGTATGTGTATTTCATTTATATTATATTTATATATTTATATTTATCTATATTTTATTTTATTTATATTGTATATGTGTATATTTTATTTTTATTGTTTTTTTTTTTTTTTTTTATCTCTAGGCATTATTTTTATCAATATTAATTACAACGTGGAGTTCTCGACCAACCCTTTTTCAAGGTAAGAAAAAATATGACAAAAAACATTAGATAATATTTAAATAAAGTGTTTACTTGCAATACTTTAACAAAAATTTTTATCAAACGTTTATTTTTATTGTTGTTGTATATTTGTGTTTCATTTATATTATATTTATATATTTATATCTATCTATATTTTATTTTATTTATGTCATTTATATGTTTGTGTATGTGTATTTTATTTTTATTATTTTTATTATTATCTATAGGGGTTATTTTTATGAATATTAATTACAATGTGGAGTTCTCGATCAATCCCTTTTCGAGATAAGAAAAAATATGACAAAAATATTAGGTAATATTTAAATAAAGAATTTACTTGCAATACTTTAACAAAAATTTTTTTCAAAAGATTTATTGTACAAAAACTATTCTTAGGGTCCTCTCGAGACCCTCTCACCAGCCTAAGAATTTTCGGAAGTCCCTCTGATTTTGGTTCATCTGCAGATCAAAGTGCATTACGTCTCTCTAATGAAACTTAACCTGAGAATAATAAAATTCTACTAGTTTCTGTCAGTTTTACTCGAAGTTTCAAAATACTCCCGGTCATTTCTTATTCAAAAATTATCACGAATGAGGCAAGCACCTGGAGGAAGTAGTACAACGTGGAAACACTACGCGAAATTTGACAGTGACAGATAGCGGCTAAGAATATCCGGGCTCTATTTTATTATCCGTCATAACTTCGAGAAACAATTCTGTGTATTCTTCTCTTGGAGAGAGGTAATATAGCAAGTTCAAAAGTAATAAATAGAAGTTAAGTATACCGGTGGACGTTGCTTCGTTATCTCGCGGTATAATTCGAGAACGAAACAATCCGGCGAATTCTCAGAAAAACAACATGGGGATATAATACAACTGGCACAACATGGAAATGTAATAAATAATGATCAAGGATGTTCTTCTTTCCCTGGCTCACCATAATTTCGCGAAACAATGCAACCGAATTTAAAAACTCTCGCAATTTATTTTTTAGTTATTTATTTCATTTTGCAATTTGTCCTTTTTCTAGAAAATAGTTTCGAAACATACTCTGGGTATTAAATTTAATGAAATTTCTAGAGTTACTTCACCTTAAATTATCTTGCTACATTTTTCACATTATTCGTAAAAATAATATTGCAAAATATTATAAATAAATGTTTTCTCTTCTTCGTTCTCTGATTCGTTCTTTATATGCACGGAAAGAATTTAAATAAGATTATTGTAATTTTTTTACAAATTCTTTTTCAGTAGCGCAGGAATAGAGACTGCTAGTAAAGTCTATCTTGCTAAGAAACACAATAAATTTTTACTAAATTGTTTAATTCATTTCGGTGTTCACGAAATATAAATTACTGCAGAATATCGACCTATTCTTTAGTTGTAAAGTTCTATATTAATTTTTACTATAGAATTCTCTTCGTATATAAATAATTGAATTTTTTCATCCGTGAATTTTAGAAACTCCCGTGAATGATTTTTACTTAAAGAACATTTTTCCAAAGAAGATTCTTTGGATATAAAATTTAGCAACATTTTCACGATTATCTCATCTTAAGTCACCTTGTTCTATTAAATCATTTGTATAAATTATACGGCGAAATATTGCAAAATAATAAGTAATTTTTCACTACCGACCCGTCATATGCGAATAACTCCGCTAATTCACCCGCGACGAGAGATTAACCGCGGCGGTGCAGTTGCACCGGCGCGAATTCATTTGTCTCCGGGAAATGCGCGAGGGTAGTGGAAGTAGTACCCGGGAACGTGTCAGACGGCGTCGGTGGCGGCGGGAGAGAATCGAAAAAGCGGCGCGGGAAAGCGACGAGTGGGAGAAGTGGGTCAAGGGTCGTGCGTAATGAGGCCAGAGGGAAGAAGTAGTATTGGTTTGTGTGTTATTCGGCTGAATATAACGGCCGCGCGCGAGGATCTCGGCTCAAGTGTAGGAAAATTGATAGGCCGGTCGGGCGCGGTGCCGAAATACCGGGCAATCTAAAGAAAAAAGAAAAAAAATAGAAGAAAAATATATAAAAACAGAGTCCTTTAATACAGAGACACATAACGGTCGCGAGGATCAGAAAAAAAGAGGAAATAGAACAGCGAGTTGCTTGCGTATCGGAGGTGGAAGCGATTTCGAATAAAAAGTCGAGTTGCTTCCGCGTTTCTATGCGATTGTCTCTCTCTTTCTCTCTCTCACACACACACACACATACATAGATATTCTATATGCTGTTTGCTCGTTTCTGCCCTCCACACGCATGTTCCACAAGTTTTATTCGTATGTAGAACGGATGTCAATTTTTGCTTCTCCTGACTGTTTGACGTTGTCTGTCGCACTGAAAGGTATAAGATCAACTAATTCTGCCAGCAACCTTAAGGAGAAACGCTCTTTTTTCCTCTATAATAACAGTTAATTTTCCTCTTTTTTTTCTTTAATAACAATTAGCATTTATGTTAGATTTAAATTTGAGTTATCAACGTATACATCAGTATCTGTCAACAACTATCTCTATTTTATTGTATTATCATTATTTATCATATCTACTCACACTATATACTTTTTTATTTTTTTATTTAGTACGTTGCATTGTGTTCGCGTTGCGACGCAAGATACGTTCCTTCAGAGTCAGGGTCGGAATATGAAAAACAAACGTACGAAATAAATAAGTAAACGAGCAAATAAATAAACGCGTGGGGCGCGCCGAGGGCTGATTAAAACGGCACGTATATTACGGGTGACTTACAGAGCAAGGGATATACCTTTTTACCCCGATATTTTTCTACCCCACGCGACCGCGCGCGGTTGTTTCCGCGTCTCTCGATTCGGTTTATTTCGGAACTCTCTTCCGCATTTCTTTACCGACCCTCCTTCCGCGCTACCGAGCTTCTCCCTCTTCTCCAGCCTCGTGGAGGAATTCTTTTGCGAAATGAGGTGTCGATGTGGTTCCGGTGTCGCTCACGGGGCGATTACACGGGAAAACACTTCGGCGAGTATACACGTTTCATGTATTATCGCAAATATTAAAACGAGCCGACGGGTCGAGTAAACGATCTTATGAATATAAAATACCTATTGTGTATGGAAAGTATACATCCAATATGATACACAACGGAAAGCATCGTGATACGATCATGTTTTAGTTGCGGTACTTAACGTTAGTTGTAGTCAAGAAGAATCTTAATGTTATTCTCTTGAAGTGAATCCGTGAAAATGTTTCTGACTGAATCAACAAAGGAAGTATTTTACCGATAATCAGCGAGTACTCGCTGACTTTCAGTGAAAACACTGCCATTTTACTGCTCCATCTTATTTCTCACCGATTACGATCAGTGGAAGTGAGATTGCACTGCAAGCTCTGCGATACACAAAAATCCGTTTACGAAACGTAGCTTTCCGCGTTTGTGACGACGGAATTAACGGCTTTCATGCATCTTGTTATGAAATATTAATGATACGAGATAAAATTAATGATATGAGAATGTTAATAATACAGATTTTTCTTCGTTCAATCGTATAAAATATATTTTTGCAATTTCATTTACCGTCACAGCTAAATTTTAGATGCCGCGACTGATCCTCTTTTCGCGCGTGCACGCTGCAAAAATAATTCACAGTGATTGCGGCGCATCGCGTGCATACAGAAGAGAAATCATACGTGCATATGCGGAAAAGAAAGGGGAGTGTAATAAATGGTCTATGTTAGGAAATACATCGGGATACCATTATCCACTTAATATTCCAATATCGAACATCGATAGAACGGAACGGTAACGGATAAACTGCGTTTTTATATCTTTCCGAAATACACAGCGCGCTGAAACGTATCCGTCATAAAACAGCGTCGCGCAGCCGTATGTATTCATTAAATGGGAACTATAAATATTTATAGCGCGCCGCGGGCTCGTAATAAAAGCCTTGAAAATCAGAAGCGATAAACAAATCGGAGAGGGAACGAATTCGCACTTGCCGCGCATCCACCGCTTCCATCTTACATATCGCATATTATTTTTCATTCCATGACGTATCTCTGGTATAAATTTCATTCAGTTTTTCAACAATTACTGAACAGTTATATTATCTTCTGTGTAGTAACTGACGAGTAAAACTTTTGGAATCCCGATCGAGATACTTTCCCTGTTTCCCTAGTTACTACGCACAAAAAATGCGCGAAATTTAAACGAAAACTAAACAATAAATGAACAACAAAACTATCCGGTCGATTAATAAACTTTGCTGCTCATGAAATGGGCTGCTTTGCCCTGAAAACTCTACCAAGTTCTTATCCATTTCCTACACAGTTTTGATATCACTAATCAGAACACAGTAATACTAGACAGTAACTAGTTAGTGTCTAGAAAAACTGCATATATTTCTACCAAGAATAATTATACATAATATAGTTGTGTATAAAGTGATAATAAGTGGTCTGTTCTTTTGCTCTGCACTGCTGCACTGGTGCAATAAGTTAGAGTGAGACAAATGTATATTTGTCTCACTCTAACTTATTGCAGC